TTCATACTTGGAGTTAGTGTTGGCCAGAGTCAAGTAACGGTCAGAACAAAAGTGTAATGGAAGATCACTGTGTGCATGCTATACCATGGATGATTCCTGTATACTTTTCCGATTGACTCAGCTCACCTACTTGAGTGTTGAAGTCATTTGACATTGTGAGTATATCTAAACGCTTGGATTTAAGTAGTAAAATCGACAGCTTTTCGTAGAATTCATCTACTGTTCAATCAGAAATCCAGTGGATCTCCGCATACTCAGAGACTACGAATAGACATCAACGACTGTTACGGTTTTTCCCAGTTCTTACAGATTCATTTAGTCGAACTGCACACTGTTGGCTGTTGACTGGTGTTAATTCATGGAATGCGCTTTCTGTTCGACAAACTAATGTCATACCTACACTAGAGAGCTCGTGAGCTAGTAACTAAATTTGTGGACAGTCGTAAGATGAAATTCGCACACTCACTGCATCAGCCAGATGAGGTCAAGTGGTTAACCACACTTGGTTCCTGTATGGATATCTGAGAAATACAGTATACATCCGTTATTCCAGTTTCCATAATTTTGACAAATAACGTCTGTTATGCGACTTGAGATACAGTTTGGATGTTGCAAGGTTCAATAGGAAGTTAACAAGGTTACTTTAGAAAAGACTAGAAATTATGTTTCGCTGGCTCGGATGGTTAGCTATGACAGTAGAATGGAAAGTTGATAAAACTATAGACGGTCTAGTTTTTGTATCAGGAAGTGAAGACAAGCGAAGAATTTAACTTCGGTAAGGTACTTTATGCTTAGTTGAGTTTTGTAGGCTACCGGAAATGCGCAGGTGGTTGGCGCTCCCCTTACTGCATACATTGTTAAAGTTGTTCACATAACGTGCCTGAAAGAGAAAATGAACTAGTATTATATATTCCGAACGGATATAATACGCACACTTAACTGACAGTTAACTTCGTATGCAAGAGCCACTGACTGCAAACCGGGACGAATAGAGAAGCCTGAAGATGGATGGGAGAGTTAATTCCTCTGAGAATAATAATCAATTAATTAGCTCAAAAATAACTTAAGCATGCATACACATAAAATGTGACCTTGTCTGTAATTTGTGACATCGATATAGTAAGAGTAAGGATTAACCAATCAGCGAATTACATTAAATATGGGGGCAGAAAATAAAATTATTAGCGATACTGTAAAAATGGTGTGAAAATGACAAGTTAAAAATGTTCAGATCAATAAGTGTTTTATGCGAAACTGGGGCCTTGTAATCATTAGTAGTAGTGATTTATGATTGTAGAGCGTAAGAAACATCTGCTTGAGAGTAGTCACACACGAACTTTTCAGGAATTTTGGATTTAGATTCCACTGTGCCACTGATTGACAATAAAAATTCATGCCACTAGCACTGGAGGACCACGCGGTAGGTAGGAATGTTCTGATCCTAGTAACAACATTTTCTAGCCTCTCCTTCCGTTGAAGACAATATCAGTATGAACTGCTGACTATCTCTTCAAGTAGTTTGATCATTCTTTATTTGATTCAGGTCAAAAAATAGTGATACTCACTAACCATAGAGAATCTGAATATTTCAAATACTTACACACGTATCTTGCTTAGTTTTCTATGATACGCGAAAATATCTTGACAGATAATCAATAACCTAATAGAATGGTTTGATTTTAAAAGCACTAAATACTGATTATTATTACTTGTCTGTTGGATTCCTAGTGGAAGATACGACTTCAGTAGCACGTCGCGATTTCACTTTATTCTCTGCAAACTTCTTAATCTGGCTTCACCACTACCCATTTCTTCTTACCATGATCTCCTGCATGTCACCTTCAGACGCCCAACTCGTTGCTAACACCATGATTCCGGAACACATAAGTAGTAATGCTACGAGGACACTTGTGGACAAAAACTAGTAACCTCTTCCAATCTCCTACTTTTAGCCGTCATGTTTCACTGTCGTATAATAGGACTGCAGCATATTTTACCAGTTCTTCACTACATAGTCGGATATTTCGCCGACACTACAGATGACGCAAGCCATTTATGTCTCAGCTGAGATACCGTCAGCAACTAGCCTATTCTGCTTCATGCAACTTCCTTGGTGAGTGAATGATAAACGCATACTACCACCTTCCTCCTCCAGGAAGGGAAACAATCCTCCACCGATCGTTTGTAGCAATATAATCTATCTGTGTCCACCCTTGGTATGGTATCGGCAAATCTGATAGTCTCTCTTCATACTTGGAGTTAGTGTTGGCCAGAGTCAAGTAACGGTCAGAACAAAAGTGTAATGGAAGATCACTGTGTGCATGCTATACCATGGATGATTCCTGTATACTTTTCCGATTGACTCAGCTCACCTACTTGAGTGTTGAAGTCATTTGACATTGTGAGTATATCTAAACGCTTGGATTTAAGTAGTAAAATCGACAGCTTTTCGTAGAATTCATCTACTGTTCAATCAGAAATCCAGTGGATCTCCGCATACTCAGAGACTACGAATAGACATCAACGACTGTTACGGTTTTTCCCAGTTCTTACAGATTCATTTAGTCGAACTGCACACTGTTGGCTGTTGACTGGTGTTAATTCATGGAATGCGCTTTCTGTTCGACAAACTAATGTCATACCTACACTAGAGAGCTCGTGAGCTAGTAACTAAATTTGTGGACAGTCGTAAGATGAAATTCGCACACTCACTGCATCAGCCAGATGAGGTCAAGTGGTTAACCACACTTGGTTCCTGTATGGATATCTGAGAAATACAGTATACATCCGTTATTCCAGTTTCCATAATTTTGACAAATAACGTCTGTTATGCGACTTGAGATACAGTTTGGATGTTGCAAGGTTCAATAGGAAGTTAACAAGGTTACTTTAGAAAAGACTAGAAATTATGTTTCGCTGGCTCGGATGGTTAGCTATGACAGTAGAATGGAAAGTTGATAAAACTATAGACGGTCTAGTTTTTGTATCAGGAAGTGAAGACAAGCGAAGAATTTAACTTCGGTAAGGTACTTTATGCTTAGTTGAGTTTTGTAGGCTACCGGAAATGCGCAGGTGGTTGGCGCTCCCCTTACTGCATACATTGTTAAAGTTGTTCACATAACGTGCCTGAAAGAGAAAATGAACTAGTATTATATATTCCGAACGGATATAATACGCACACTTAACTGACAGTTAACTTCGTATGCAAGAGCCACTGACTGCAAACCGGGACGAATAGAGAAGCCTGAAGATGGATGGGAGAGTTAATTCCTCTGAGAATAATAATCAATTAATTAGCTCAAAAATAACTTAAGCATGCATACACATAAAATGTGACCTTGTCTGTAATTTGTGACATCGATATAGTAAGAGTAAGGATTAACCAATCAGCGAATTACATTAAATATGGGGGCAGAAAATAAAATTATTAGCGATACTGTAAAAATGGTGTGAAAATGACAAGTTAAAAATGTTCAGATCAATAAGTGTTTTATGCGAAACTGGGGCCTTGTAATCATTAGTAGTAGTGATTTATGATTGTAGAGCGTAAGAAACATCTGCTTGAGAGTAGTCACACACGAACTTTTCAGGAATTTTGGATTTAGATTCCACTGTGCCACTGATTGACAATAAAAATTCATGCCACTAGCACTGGAGGACCACGCGGTAGGTAGGAATGTTCTGATCCTAGTAACAACATTTTCTAGCCTCTCCTTCCGTTGAAGACAATATCAGTATGAACTGCTGACTATCTCTTCAAGTAGTTTGATCATTCTTTATTTGATTCAGGTCAAAAAATAGTGATACTCACTAACCATAGAGAATCTGAATATTTCAAATACTTACACACGTATCTTGCTTAGTTTTCTATGATACGCGAAAATATCTTGACAGATAATCAATAACCTAATAGAATGGTTTGATTTTAAAAGCACTAAATACTGATTATTATTACTTGTCTGTTGGATTCCTAGTGGAAGATACGACTTCAGTAGCACGTCGCGATTTCACTTTATTCTCTGCAAACTTCTTAATCTGGCTTCACCACTACCCATTTCTTCTTACCATGATCTCCTGCATGTCACCTTCGGACGCCCAACTCGTTATTTCCCATTTGGCTTCAACCCGAAAATCCGGCACGCGCTGTCTCCAAACCATCTTCTCAGTGTACACCCAATCCATCTCCACTTTTTTCCTCTGCATATTTGTTGGGCGACGGGTTCTTGGTTGGTTCGTCGCCAGACAAAGTGAGTTCCTCCTTGCTCATTCTTTCTGGCTATCTGATCATCTTCAGTATCGAGTGAGTGTAGGCGGCAGCTGTTGATGATGTATATCTGCAGTTTGTTGGGAATGCTTTTCATAACATGCCAAGTCTCTCAAGCATCACATAGAAGCACTGACTTGACTAGCGTTAGTTTGAAAATCCGGATCTTGTTCACGCTTTATGCTGAGTGTAGTAGATTCACACACTAATTTCAGATTAATGCAGGAAGGCCTGTCTTGCTGTCTTTTCGATCCTGGCTTTGACGACCTCACCTGTGCCGTGTTTAGTTGAAACGATGCTTCCTAGATAGGTAGGTGAAAGAGACAACTTCGTTTAGATTCCCCGGTTAATGGTAATTGGTGCTCGTTATTGTTAGTATGATCACTACTATCATTAGAGCTTGTTATTATTATTGTTGTTGGTTGGGTATCTTCATCACCTCTGTCTTCTCTATGTTCACTTGAAGGAAGTCCCATTTTCGCTGCTCTGCCTCTTCTGACAACCTGTTGGTTTTCGCATGTAGATCTTCAAGCTTGTACGACATTAGACATAAATCATCGGTGAAATCTAAATCTTCTAAAGTCACTAAATACTGATAATGGTAACTAAATATTTCATTGGAAAAAAAGTATATGGCAAAATGAATTTATTGTAAAAATGTTTCTTATCATCACTAAAATACGCAGACAAACATACAAATGGCCGAAACTGCATTTATCCAAATAAGGTAACTAACCTCAGTTTCCAAGTTTGTAACATGCAAGTTTAGCTTATTCAAATGACGATTTACAAATGTTTTTAGAGTTTGTTGAAATGAAGCAAGTTTTTCTGGTACTGCACAATCGACTAGAGCGCTTATTGCATCATGATCTGTTTCAGTATTATCTAAGATTAAAATGAAAAAGTAGACATGGTAAACATAGAATGCGTTCTACCAGAAAATAATTACAACTCTATTAACGTTTTAGAGTGATACCTAGTGCTAACAAAGTTTTGTCACCGATTTTTTCACTGTAACATACAATTAAGAACTTGAAGTCCTATAAACCTATAACAATATGAACTAGGCATAGTTCAATCGATAATGATAATAATCCAGGTTTCATGTAGTAAGCTATTAGCCGCATTGTGTGGGGATCTACACAGTTGCCTGCTTAACATTACAATGCTATCTGGAAGTTTTTGGAGGTCTATTAATTGATTTGAGGTTAGAATTTTAGGTAGGAAATATAGACCATTGGATTTCGGCGCACTGGCTCAATGGTGCTGGCTACGGAACCTGAAAGTCATGGGTACGCACTGCTGAGGAGTCCCATAATATGACCAAACAGCTGTCCAGTGCTCCCAGGTTTTCAGTGTTCTTCCAATTGATGTCAGTCTATGATGAATTCCAAGCTAATAATATATTGCAGAATCATCCTGTGAGATCCTCATTAGGGATAAAGAAAATGCAAGCTACACAAAACGACTAACAAATAATCAAGTCGGCGATCGCAGTTCACGCCATCTATCATAGTCACAAAATCAATATTGAAAATATTAAAATTACTCAGAAGGGATTTCCAAACTACAAAGAAAGAAGAATAGCAGAGGCATTTCACATTATGTTGATTCCTAATGCACTCGATAGAAAGGAAGGCTTAACTATCCAACCAACCTGGACAGTATTTCCAAAAACAACACATCACACACAATGATCTGATCAAAAAGTACATACACACAAACAAACCGAATTTGTCATCCATATTATTTATTTCCACTGCTAGCCACTGCTCATCATTACTAAACATAGTTAAAAGACAGGCAATATCGAGGCATCCGCATAGGAGCTCATATGCCAACAGAGACTGACCAATTCGGTCCAATCAACGAAGGTGTAATACAAGCACTTATACCATTTTTTTTTCTTCTTACACTTTCACACTCAGTTACATGAACACATATTCATATCACCTTGATCTCCAGACTGATTAACTGATAAACAAAGACAAATCGTGAACGCTTCCTGACCAGCATAACGATGACAGTCACATTCATATTATCATCATGTATAGACAATGTGATCTGGTTCGTCACCTTTTACTATTTAAACTATCGATAACTGGTACAGGTTTTATTCTCTGAAGAAGTGATTTCCACGAAGTCACGAAACGTCAGGAATTTATTTTTCTACTTCAATGGGATTTTACAAAATATATTTCATTTATAATATATTACAATAGTTACACTGTAGAGTTTACATGAAACTGTTTAGTATCAATCTGAGAAAAAAAATAGAGAAATCATTTCAAAAAAGATACCTTAAACTATCATTCATATATATATATATATATATATATATATATATATATATATATATATATGAAACATTTCTCTGTGCATACAAACCTTGTTCATCTCCAACATCTGTAACATATTCAATCTGACGTCGATGTTGTAAAATTCCATTAATTTTGCGTACAATTAAAACTGTAAGTTGAACTTTACGTGGTAGTGTTATCATTGGAGCAAATCTACGAACTAATGCAACTAGTAAACGTAATATAGCTACTAGATCACGTTCATAAACTTGAGAAACAGGCCAAAGTTGAGCAGCACGAACAGGTGAAATATCCAATGCAGAATTAATTTCATCTAGTACAATCTGTTTGAAAAGATAATTTAAAAATTTTCGTATTTCATCAATTGATATATGTTATATATGATAAGTGCATTTCTACTGCAAACGTTGATTAACTCTTTTATGATTTCTCTTATATTATATTATATTACTATTATTATATATATTATATATTGTATTATTATTATTACTATATTATATACACTATATATATATATATATATATATATATATATGTATATATATCATATATTATATTATATTATATATATATATATATATATTATATATTATTATTATTATATTATATTATTATAAATTAATTAAAATATAATTGAGTATATAAATTTTCACACATATAATTAACGCTCACTACAACCTATCATTGTCATCTGAGTAGCAAGCTGAAAGGAAGATGATTATAACACTATTCAACATTCAGCCAATAGGTCAGGTAACTTCGTAAACACTAACGTTTAAAGTTTTGCTTCTCAAAGAGACAAACTGTAGATTAAAAATAACATTCTTTTGAATCTGGATAATGTTATTAGAAGACGAAGATTATCTGAGCAATATGATGTATTTGCGCAATACATTTCAAACAATCTGCTCAATCACACATTTACTTGAATTTCTACAGCTTTTGTCTAATGAAATAAAAGAGAGGCTTAGTAAGATGCTTATTCAATAGGATTCCACATATTTGTACTAACCTCATCTAGTTAACTAGTTCAGCAATTACTAACCGGTCCTAAGCCTGGATAAAGAGGGAAGGTTGGACACGGGGCTAGCAAACCTACAACGCAAAAACCAATTCAATCGCTAAGGTAACTTCAAAGCATAAAGAAAATATTAAAAATAAAAACGAACTTATTCCTCCCTGGAATCGGATAGGCGAAATAACACCGGTTGGTGACAGACTTCTGAAAGCCAATTGGCTGATGTGTCTTCTCTTCTCTCGATGAAAGTGAAAGTAAAAATGGTGACATGGAATGTCCGCACCATGTATGAACCTACTAAGGATGCCTAGATTGCAAAGAGATGAGAAGCTAAATCATAGATGTGCTAGGCTGGGAATCTGCAAAAGCAGATGGAATGGAAGTGGACTCTCCAAACTGTCAACTGGAGAGTCAATAATCTACTCCGATATTATCACCCAGACGACAACCACGAGCACACTCAGATTTCGAGTGGCTACCATGATGTCCCCAACACCATCGAAGGCTTTCATGTAGTGGGAACCAATCTCCTCCAGGATGAGGATCATCACAGCAACATTCAACTCAAAAGGAAGCAAAGTCACAATCATACAGTGCTACTTTACGCACCCACTAATAATGCAGATGAAGAGGAGAAGGAGGAGGAATTGTACAGACAACTGCAATCAACACTGGACAAGACCTCAGTTGGTGACATCAAAATTCCAATGGGTGGGGTGACAGGAATGCCAAACAGGGAGCAGACAACACAGGAAGAGAACCAATCATAGGTTGAGAAGCACTGAGTGAAATGAATGAAAATGGAGAAGTGTTTGTAGATTTCAGTGTATTTAGCGAATTAGTGATTGGAGGTAGTGGGTACATGCACAAGGATATTCACAAGACAGCGACATGGATCTCACTAGATGGATACACTAAAAATCAGATCGACTTCATCTCAATCTCAAGAAATTGGAGACGCAGCCTACGTGTTTGTACATCTGATACAATGGATGATGATAGCCAATTCCTGACAGACGCACTTATGGAAAATGGATATCTATTACAGTTTATCAACGGTTGTAGAAAACAGCTAACCCCAAAGCCTATAAGTTCCTCGATCCCAAAGAAGGAAATATTTCTTAAAGTACCATACAGATGGGAAACGAGCAGTATGATATTGAAACAGAGATTAAAATCTGTTATCAGTAAAACATACTCTGCAGCTCAACTTATCATTGTTGAGACAACAAAACACCTACTTCGCCACAGAGCTCAATCCACTGCGTTTACCAATTTACATGTATGTGGACACATACATAGGAAGGAGTAATCGTGCCATACAGACTAGGGTGCGTGAGCATATACTTAAATGGCTAGAAAAATAATTTAACACAAACTTTGATAAGTGCATGTGACAGACATCCATCTCCATCCATAACAAACATATAATCGAAGTGAATCATGAAGTTCATATGAAAACAGCATTTCAAATGCTAAATAGAAAAAGCCAGGAACACATAACTGAGATTGGCTGAAGTGTTGGCCATTCTTAAACTTAAGACCCGTTGTTGTTTTACTCAATCGACTTTGGTAATCCTTATCTGATTATATTACCAAGACTAGTGTCACACATAACCTTTTCATATTCATTATATTTGACCTTTCATTTTTCCTTTCATTTTCATATAGAAATTGACTTGACAAGTAAAATGTATGGTCGAGCAGATGGTTAGAAATGTCTTGGGCAAATACATCACATTGTTCAGATAATCTTTCTCTTCTAACAGGGCTATCAAAATTCATTAAATCAATCAGTCAATATCAACATAGGACCAAGCATTACTGCGTAACGGTCCGAGTTGCCGCACCTCATTTCAGTACATCAAGTAGAAAGGTAGTGAGGTGAAGGATGAAGATAAGAGAATGCAGTCAAAAGAAATATAAAGTACGAGAAGAAAGAAAAGAGGAGTGACAAAATGGTGAGATTCGGTATAGTGTAGTTACGATGAGGATAATGTGTGTATACATCTGCGCCACTCACATCGGTTCTCAGCCATATCACCTAGGGTCTCCAACCACTGGTTTCTCTTGTCCCGCCAACCCCAACCACCTAGTCTGCATAGTCCTACATGGCTTAAACCAACAGTAAGAGACTTCATACATTGGTGCCATGTTTTAGTCTGGCCACCTCGGGCCTTTTTCCAGCCTGGACCCACCTCAGCCAACATTGTGTGACGAGGCAATCGGAGACTGGGCATACGTAGTCAAAATTCATTAAAGGGACTAATTGTTTCAAATTCTTTTAAATGTTGGAAGATTGAAGTGACTGACTAACTGGACAAAGATACAAACAGTGACACGAAAAAAGCAGATGAATAACTACAAAACAGATGACAAATAATCACCATCTTGCCACTTCATTAACCAAGACTTTACCAAACAGCATGAGTATGAGAAAATGATACCATGCTTGTGACAGTGAAAACTGTTTATCAGGCGAAGATTCGCCATCATAAACATAAATTTACTGTATTTAAAAACAGCGTACGACAACTGATTAGTTTATTAAGATCTTCTTCTAAACACACAGCTGCACAAATCAAAGAGAGAATCAATAAAACTTTTATATCAGAGCTTGATCATCTAAAATTTTAATGTATATTTCAACAAATTCTCATAAAATACAACCTCCAAGATAAAATAAACTCAACTTCTTAGTGCTGTACTATTCATCGGCATAAACTAACTGCGATCTTGAAAACAATGTTACTTTCTGATTTAAAAATAATACACGAAATACCATCGCTGAAAGCATGACACTAAGCTACTAATCTAGTATACAAACAAGTTATAAATATAGATTCCTCACCAAAAGTCAATCAAGATGACAGTCCGGTCCTACGTGCCGGTTAAAAATGTCTACGCAAACAGCACATTTTACAGCTCAGTAGTAAACATTTAGTTTAACACATGCAATTAAAAAAGACAGACAAAACCAACGTAGAACCTCACACACAAGTACATCACCTCAAGCTACCAAACTTTACAGTAGTACACAAAGAACAGGTGAATAGAAAAAGAGTGATATCAAAGTACGCAAAGCTGTTTGAGAGAATAAACAATCTAAAGGCAACGGTTAGTGAAAATATTCAAGCCTTAGAAGACACCAAAGACTGAATACATTTGCACCATTGTGACTGATGATTTTCTGCCATATCACGGATACTTCTCACCCACCCACTCATTCCTGTTGTTCTGGGAACCCCAACCAGGTAGTCTATATCTCCCGCACACGACTCAGACTAACGGTGAGGAACTTCATCGACTGATGTCACGTCCTACTCTGGCCACCCTGAACCCTATGCCAACCTAATCCAACTTCACCTACCATGTCACATCGTGGTAAGCTGTGACTCACCATGCACAACACATCTCCAAGGTATCTCAATCGATGAAGGTTTACAACCTCATCGATCGACTTGCCTGTCTTGTCTACTACACTTCGCTTGACCTCAACATTGCTCACATGCTGATTCCATGAAACGCGAGCAATGCCACGAAGACATTTAAGATCAAAACTGTGTAACCACTTTAAGTCTTTCACTTTCAGTGCCTATGTTTCCTAGCGGTACGATAGGAGAGAACGGAGTGAAGGACAATATAAAGGTCCTTTGATAGATAGTCAGATATCTCGCCAATTGGTGCCACAAATGATGGAAGTTGGAAAATGTTAATCGACCAGTTAAGAAAATGATGAGTACAACATATACTCAGAGTATATTTTGTTGATTCACATTTTATTACGGAACTTTCATGTTTCGTGATGAATGATGTCTGGTTAAATAACACTAGTTGTACATTGTGAATAATAATTAAGTAAACGGCTCATAAAAAATCATTCATGTCATCAATATATAGGCAAAACTCACTTTTAATCGTTGTTTCTGTCCTATTTCAGTTTGAGCTACTTCTGGATGATTAATTTTAATATCTAATAGCTTTTCAATCAACTTTTGCAAAACTTGTCCATCGAATAAATCTGCTTCTAAGTCACGTACTAGAATTCTATCATCTACAAGTTCTGTATTGATCCATTCAATAAGTGAACGTGATAAATCCTGGACCAATGGATGTTCCTAGCAGAAATAATAATAATAATAATAAGTGAACAGAGGATGCAGTTTTAACGAAATCTTCACAAAGTTTAGCTCCCATTTGTTAAACAATGACTTGAGATTAACTGTAATTGTGGGTAAGGAAACTGGCTCATGTCAGATTCAGAAGTCTGAAATGCGACCATTATGAATTCCCATTGAAATTTTGCATTACTCGCTTTTTGTTACTCTTGGCATGATCATTCTTTAAATACATTTGAACATGGTTTATGATTAACTGTTGAAAATATTCAGGGAAAAATATTCACCATATCGGTGCCAAGGCGATTTACTAAGAAACGCTACTACTGGAATTCTTTTTTCATTAAAAATAGTTTTTTTTAAAAAAACAGGATGAAAGCTTAATTCCAGGAGATAGTTACCAACAGATTTCTATATGAATCACATCTGGCCCCGCCAATGTTTCCACAATCCTGAATGACTGAGTCATCAAAAACTCTAAGAATCCGATTCCATTTTAGGATATTTCCATGAAATTTAACCATTACCATTATGAATAATGTCTAGTCGTGAGAATTACTTCCGTCTATCTAAAATATCTCTAGCCTTTGATTGAACAGCTTTTTCAAAATTATGCAGCAGTAAAATATGAAAATGACTTTGAGTTATATAATTTACTCTCGAATGCAGCATGCCAGATACTACTTAAGCAGAAAGTAAACTAGTCTGACTACATAAAGGTATTTGGATACATAATATAACTAACTTTTGACTGGGGTTCGATCATAGAGCGCTCTTCACCCTCCGCAAGCTGACATCCATCAATACCAAGGTCGACTGGGGCTGGAAGTAACGGATCCTCCATAGCTTGTCGGGCTTCAGCAGCTAATTCTTCAGCCTCCTGCTTCCGTCTTCTTGATCGTGATAAAGTGTTCAACTTTGCTAAGAATCCAGACTCACGAGAATCAGCCCCCACACCAGTGTTTGGGCCATAGATACCATTTCCGAAATTCTGAGGCCCCAAACCTACGCCACGTCTGGGAGTCCCTGGACTTTGGAGATTACCTGTCTGAGGCTGGAGGATTAAATGTCAAAAATATATGAATAAACAACATCAATACTTATTTTTTTTTAAAGCATGAAATCATACAGATTAAACTTTTCTATCATGAGTACCGGTAAATGACAATATTTGCTTGGTTGCAGGAATACCATATTTCTGGACTGGTTGGCAGAATTACAAACCAGTGATGCTATAGTAGTCTGTTCTCCGTGAAACGCTAAAATTGTGCACTAGACTTGGTGGTGCTGATGGTGAGTTGCATATTAGGATATAACAGTCATCCAATACAGCCCAGTTATCAATAATTACTCAACTATACCCTTTTAGTGTCATTTCTTAACCAGATCAGCATGAGGACTATTACACTTTACTCCTGTTCCAGACATCTCGACATATAAAATGAATCCGTGATGGAGGAGCATAAAACATACCAGAAGCAAATCGATAAATGAACATTCGGAAATTCATAAAATGACCAACCTCTCAAGTTACAGTACTACACCCGATTCCACACTAGACAAGCTCAAACAGAAACCCACTTAGCAACCACGTGCGCGTTCGCGCAGTAAACAATGAGCCATATCTTTTGTATGAGGGTCTAATAATAACACCTGGTTTCTCAGACTTGGAGAGATGGATCTGGGTTTGGACCCATGGGTCCTCGGCTGGAAGTCAAATGCCTAGAGTAATGAGCCACAGAACTACATTACAGTGATTTCAAGCAGTGTAATGTGATTATCAGCAATGAATTGAACTCAAAACGCTATCCAGTAAATAAGACTGTGCGGTATCAAATAAAGTAATGGAATATAGAGGGGAAGTCTACCAGTGCGCAAATCCTACTTTGACGCTACGCCACCTCAGTAGTACTCTCGCTCGGTGTGCCGTTAAATCGCAGTTGTTACAATCAAAACTTTTAATTAGCAGAGGTATATACAACTTTCAGATAGACGCCAGTAAGTATTTCTATACTCTAGGATATGATAAATCTGACTGATATATTTTACATGCTTAGATGTGGCCTAGTTTCCTTAAGAGGCATGTGAACAACTACTAGCATGCATTACAAGGTCAGCGTTTTGAAGTTGGCACTCACAATGTTCATTCACTATCGACTTGGGAGATGGAATTACCACACAGCAGCTAAGTTTTTCTTGCTCACTTCAGTAAATGACACAACATACCAAAGTAGACATAACAAAATGTCAGTGACCCTCTCCTCGTTCTATTTATCTTCTATCTTTTCCCCTACTATTTTAAAAACTGCAGCACTCTCCCCCAGTAAGTTGTGCTAACAACTGAAATTTGTAGAATAGCATTTTAAGTTCCTATAAACTGCGCCGCTAAGTTCAACTTGAACGTAAATTTTATGTGAATTGGGGCATTAGATTTCACTGGCCTAAACCTTAGCATTTTTCGCCCTAAACTAACATTGCTTTCGAAATTCATACTCAAGTACTTATATGCTTCTCATTATCTGTAGATTAGGGACTCTGTACAAACATCGTACCTCAGGATCTAGGCATCAGCCTCCTTCGATGTTACAGATGACAAAACGACAATGTGTTCAAAAGTGAAAATTAAGCTTTTTAAATGAACCTTAGTCAACGAAAACTCTTTCGACCAGATCTTTGCGTGAAGATCTGGCAGGAATGCGAGATTCATAGACACTGACTGACGCTCATCATGGATATATCTATCATCTACATTTTAGACTACGTAGTGAGTTAACTGTGGATAAAGATACAGTGGTGGATAATTTTATTGCCTAAACAAAGAAGCTGAATGTAGTAGAGAAGTGATTTAGAATTGTTTTCCTAACCCTACGTCAAAGTACCAAAAGAAAACCAAAGACAATAATCATCCAGACTAAGCACATAGAGAAACTGATTAGACATCTATCAAACTCAATCCCACGGCTAAGCAAATGCACATCACCACTAGGAGTCATCACAGACAATCAAAGATGACCACTGACATCGGGATACTTGAGTAATTTCTGAATAAGTGTGTATCAATTTGACTATGAGATAAAAACAACCTGCAGGTCACTTCTCGATCAACTACAATCTAACAGTATTTGAGTAAACTCATGAACCAGTTGGTTAATTTAACGAATTTCTGCGATACAACTAAGCGTTTATTCGAGTTTGGTGTGAAAACTTAGGTAGAAATAGTTATCAGAATTTAACTTCAGTTTTGGAGTGCCCAATATATTTCAGAAGCATTATATGAACCAATCAGTGCAAAATCGACATTCTGGCTAGCTCCGAACACTATGAAAGTAATAAACAAGTTTTTAAGTAACCACAAGCAGTAACAATATGTAAAAGAAGATTAAGATGTACTACAGACAGCTAATAATCTTTATATAGTCATACTCAAGTGATATCAGTATTCAGTGAGACTGCGTTATGACACTACAGTGCTTATTAACTAAGGTCGTTAAAATTATTAAGCGCATTAGTTACAGATTATTTATTAAACATATGCAACTACACAAAGGTTTACAGAAAGCATTATTCGAAATTGACAACAACTAGTTGTCTCATACACCAATATCCTCCTACTAACTTCGAATATACAAATGACTTTGTCAGATGAAGATGCAGACAAAATTAAATGTATTCTGATCAGACAACTTACACATCCCTACGTGACATAGACTAACAGATATTGACTCCGCTAACTGGCGTAATCTTTTGGTCTGATTGCAGTTCGTCATTTCCAAACCCGACAGTACCCCAGATAACACATGGCACTGAAAAGAACGATGGTTCAAAATAGATAGTGTGGGTTACAGCCACCTACGTCAGGGCATATTTGAAACCCTACCGACTGCCTCAGCTACCTTACTCAAGTTTCTGAGCCTGACCTCAGTGTTGCGTACCCCCTAGTCCCATTGCACACAAGTATTGCTAAAAAGATACCTATAATCGGACACCCGTAACCGTTTGGTGTTTCGCCTCAAAACCCTAAAGCATGAGAGATTGAACTGCTGTGCAGTCCCTTTGCAGTAGTTGGATGTATCACGGGTCACGAGTGGTATAAGTCGACAAACATCATATGAGACTTAAATTTCCATCCCTAGATTTTCAGTTATCCCTTTAATAAGATTGATACAACCTACCAAGTGACTACGACAGTAACTCGTAGTCATTTCTTTTATATATTAAGCCATTGATTTGTGCTAACTTGATGACCCCATTCTTTTAGCTTGCATTCCGAAACACATCTCAAGTCGGCACTCACTCCTTTGATAGATTAAGCTACTTTCATTAACGGCTTCATTCAACTGAAAACAAGACTATTATTTTAAGGATATAAACCACAACTCCTAGGCTTAAAAATAATACCGCATTATGAGAGCTGTGTTTTGCACATGCGAACAAAACTAGTTGTTAGCAGTGTTATAGTCCTATAAAAAGATAACTCCAGCGATTTAAGACCCACACAGCAAAAAAAATTTGATGAAGAGATTTCCTTTACATTTGGCATGCATGCATAATATACATTCAATACATCCTCAAAATCAACTACAAGGATACGAATGTTACACAAAGTAGGTAACTGAAGAAATATAGAAAGGTTACAACTAGATGCATAAAATAGAGCAATTAAACCTACGTAAACCAGAAAAATAGGAAAAAGCCGTACTCCAGTAACATGATTATCGACAACATAAATGAATTACTGTCTTGCTGATATCACACTAATATATCTCCTCAACTTAATAATGCGCTGTTTACATTCTAGGACAATTTACGGTTGTTTAGTGGATGCTAAAGATTAGCAAATGAACTTTGATGTAGATCACGTAGAACAAGTATGTAGTCCTACTAGTAACAGACTGGATGATCCCGATTATTATTGATTAATGGTGTTTATTACTCTTCAATAATTACTACTTCTGAATGTTCATTCGGCGGAAGCTCTATCCTTCAGCTTCAACTACACTTAGGAAACCGATAAAAAATATTTTTCACTAAATATGTGAATTATTTTATAAAGACACAGTAAAAGTTATCTACCGATGACAAATCCATGAAAGATGGTAGCAAGCAAACGAATCAACCCACAAACATACGATAATGTGTAAACATAAAATAATTTGTCGACCGATGCATAGTCTTTCACAAAAGCTGGGTTACATGCAAAGGAATTAAAAATACAGGTACTAGTAGAATATAAGCACATATATATTTCTGGAATAGTGTTTCCCTGAAAACTACAGTGTTCACATTACACACACTGTGGTATATACAAAATACCAGTTGTGAAAATCCATATCAAAAATTAACCCAACGATTTAGAATGCAGAAGCTTCATGCAAAACCGTGTCAATTATTCCACAAGAAACAGCTTCTTCTGCAGTCATAAAGTAATCACGATCCATCCATTTCTCTATCACCTTAAATAAAAAGAAAGTGAACGTAATATATGATGTAGGCATTGATGATTTGTGTAATCATTTATTTGATAAGCTTAATCGATACTTGCAATAAAAAAAATGCACGGTATCTCAATACATCTGATAAACATACAACTCGTATTGAGAAATGTAATAGACATCAAATAACACAACCAATAACAACAAATATTTAGCAATATGAAATAAGCATAGGCTTTGGTTATGTATCACTGAGTACTTTATCCTGCAGTAGAAGTACAGCTCATCATATTGAACAAGACTTCATACGAAAACTGTAAACAAGCCTCAGAGACATTTTTTAGGAAGAATATGCACCGGAAAAATGGCCATGATATACAACAATATGCAAAATTCCCAGTAATCCTACGTCTTATTTCCCGGTAGCCAAAAATGTCTCAATAAATAAGATTATGTCATCGCCGTTGCACTGAAGATCAACTACTTGTCCACTTAACAGTAAATCAAATCCAAGCCAGTTAAAACTCTCTCTTGATAGTAAGTTTAAGTCGTAGATCTCTTATGAAAGAAAACATTGGAAATCTGGCGAATGCTACTCACTATCGAATCAAGGGTAATTTGACAAGTCAAAATCCCTGAAACACATACAGCAAAAACAAAAGTTGTAGGTTGACAACAGTTAATGATAACACTCATAATTATCCTAGGTTGAGCAGTTGCATTAGCTTCTTAAACTAATATATATATTCTTGCTTAGGATGACACCATCCATTAAACATTTGAGGCGTTCTCAATAAAGTAAAGAAGTGAAAACTTTAAAGTTCACCTTCCCGATCACATGAGTTTAGGTAAATGGAGTTTGTGACTGACAAACTTAATCGATATGCTGTTGAGAAAACCATCACAAAGTAGTTTCTGAAAAAAAAATTTTAAAGCTATCATTTACGAGCTAATATCGAACAGCTGGTGAAAGAGATACTTGGTTGGTGCATAAACATAGGCTTTTGCGAAATAAGCAAACATAGGCAATACGCAAAACCTTTTTCATATTCTTCAGAAAAGGAATAAATCATTTGTCTTCAGGATAGTCTGAGAAGTCAGGTATTTTAATACGACCTCAGAATAAACACCAGTACTCAATTATTGATTGAAGAATCCCAGTGGATGGGATTTGTATGGTACTGTGCATTACCTAGAATTTGACTTAGGCTCAGGTTTTCAGACTGATAAATTTACCTTCTAAGACATAACTTACCTAAGTCTAGATAGTTTAACTTAAAACCTCATGCTTCTTATGTAGTAGGGAAAACCATTCACCAATAATTTTGCGGAATGTAGCAATCGAAATTCCCTAACAAGTGGAATATTAGGGAAAGAATATAACGATAACTTTTTACTATTTACTAAAACTAGTTTGGTGGGGCTTTACTACAAACTTGCAAAAAGATTAAGAATAGCTGAAAAGCGAAGCGACGATAAAACAACAATGTCTTCGGGGACTCAAAATCTATAGAACAGTTACCCCCCATAGAGACTTGTAAATTACGTTTTCCAAGAATGCAATACTACGTACAACTAGAGTTAGCAATTAGTGGAAAACCTACCCTTTCTAGTTAATTCAATCAGTCAGTATCAGTATGCGACCTGGAATTACTGAGGAATGGTTCGAGTTACCACGCCTTATTTCATACCAATAAGTCAAGGCATGAAACAAGAGGATGGAGGACAGAAGTAAGAAAGTGACCAAATATAGTAGTCATAAACAGAGAACAAGAAAGGACGAAAAGAAATAAAATTCACTTTGGCGACCAAGATAACGTTTGGATGGATCTGCACCACTGAGATTGGTTCTGAGCTATATTACCTACAGTACCCCACCAGGTGGATCCCAACTAGAAAGTTTACATTTTGCTACACGGCTCAGACTTATAATCAGAGACTTCGCAGACTGATGTCGTTATTTCGTCTGGCCAACTTTAGCATTTCTCAAACCTCCACCTACTTCAAGTAAAACTGCGAGATGGGGAAGACGGTGACTAACCAAGAATAGTACATGTTCCAGTTACCTTAGTCAGTGAAGGTTTACAACCTCTTTAGATGACTTGCCATTTTTACCTAGAATTTTACACCTGATTTCCACATAACTGGTGTGGTCTTACAACCCAAGGCTTTTGCTATGAAAGGAACGCCGGCCGAACACCTTGAGCCTTTTCATCACCTCCACATTTAGTGAGCTTTGGTTACAAGCAAAGAGGACCAACACGATGATGAGATGAATAGTATATATGTTTATTGTCATTCGGATATCCAACATCCATATTATGGTCGAATATATATATATATATATATATATATATATATATATATATATATATATATACCACTAGGACAAACTTTTTCACAGGTAGTCATAAGCTTTGATCTCTCCTTTTTCGTACAAGCCCATAATCCGCATTTCACAACACGGTTATTTTGACCAGTGGAAATTTTCGTGTACCGGTGTTACGTTCTGCTTCAGCCAATTTGAACGCACTATGTCGCATCCATACACCCTTATTTTAATCTCCACATCGAATGCCCCCACCCCTCTTCTTACTACTTCTGATTGTTTTCTTCGTTACTGCTCGATCTCTCATCTATGTCTTTTACCTTAATGTAATGATGTAAATGTGGCGACTGTAATCGCCATGCAGTAATGCTAGGTTCTTTGTTGGTATTGGAGAGCTTTTGTATTCCATGAAGTACTGGTCATTAAGATAGATTGTGAGGTTTTGAACAGATGCTATAGCCAATTCAAATTCACTTTCTATTCAATGAAAGACGAAAATCTTGTAACTCTAAATTGGAGTGCGAAACAATATACGTGTTCTTATTTGCATGGATACTGAGCAAATTTATTAACCATTTTGTCTTTTCACTTCGTTATATGAAGGTTAGGTGGAAATACCTGAGATGTGAAAACCCCTATTAACATGTTTAGAAAAGAGCGATCGGAGTGAAGTGATATTTTGTTTCAATTAGCTCCCAATCGACGGCTTCACTGTAATATGTAGGATTTTGAAATGCGAAAATAATATCCGTGTAGTGCTTTAAAGTTAGTGAATAATATCAACCTTAAGTCGTCAGGGTGTGATAGGTGAACCCTTATATTACGATACTAGTTGAGGAATGAAACAATTACGTGATACATTCGAGAGAGCTTGATTAGATTGTTGCCGAGTTGGTAGTTTAGATAGCAATGATTAGCAAGAAGAGAAAGCGGATGGTTAAGTTAAGTGGTAATGTCGACGATAGTTAGATGACAATCCTGACAAAATTCAGGGTCTTCTGATCGTGTTGAGCAGAAATCTAACTATATATGATTGGGACACGCTTCCCACCTGTCAAATGTTAAATGATGCTCCAAAACTGGTCTGCAACTACTCCCAGTTTAAGGATGGGGAGGGAAGTGGTTGAATGTGTTGACCACTTCACTTACTTGAGGAGTTGCTTCAGCTCGAACGGGCTGGTTGCTGACGTCATTTAACCTTGAATATAGAAGGCCCGTTTAGTATTTGCCAACTTGCATCATCTGTGGCACCAATTGGCGAGATATCTGACTATCTATCAAAGGACCTTTATATTGTCCTTCACTCCGTTCTCTCCTATCGTACCGCTAGGAAACATAGGCACTGAAAGTGAAAGACTTAAAGTGGTTACACAGTTTTGATCTTAAATGTCTTCGTGGCATTGCTCGCGTTTCATGGAATCAGCATGTGAGCAATGTTGAGGTCAAGCGAAGTGTAGTAGACAAGACAGGCAAGTCGATCGATGAGGTTGTAAACCTTCATCGATTGAGATACCTTGGAGATGTGTTGTGCATGGTGAGTCACAGCTTACCACGATGTGACATGGTAGGTGAAGTTGGATTAGGTTGGCATAGGGTTCAGGGTGGCCAGAGTAGGACGTGACATCAGTCGATGAAGTTCCTCACCGTTAGTCTGAGTCGTGTGCGGGAGATATAGACTACCTGGTTGGGGTTCCCAGAACAACAGGAATGAGTGGGTGGGTGAGAAGTATCCGTGATATGGCAGAAAATCATAAGTCACAATGGTGCAAATGTATTCAGTCTTTGGTGTCTTCTAAGGCTTGAATATTTTCACTAACCGTTGCCTTTAGATTGTTTATTCTCTCAAACAGCTTTGCGTACTTTGATATCACTCTTTTTCTATTCACCTGTTCTTTGTGTACTACTGTAAAGTTTGGTAGCTTGAGGTGATGTACTTGTGTGTGAGGTTCTACGTTGGTTTTGTCTGTCTGACATAAGAATAATTTAATACAGTGGGAAAAATAAGATTATCGGAAACTGTGATGATGATAATAATGTTAATGATGGTAAGTTTGTAAAATGAATAAAATATGGTGAGAAGGGTCATCTTGGTGGAAAGAATAAAAACACTACAGATTTCTTCTGAACACAAGTTCGGCTTGTTCAGTGGGACCCCAATGTCTTCCGGTGTATGTCAAAAATCATCGTTTAAACTAGATGCTATCAGTATCTTTAAAGGTATTGCTATTATTATCGACTTGACGCCCAGTATCAAACATGAGATTATGTGGCTACTTAATGATCTTGCCAGTCCTTTACTGAACCTAGACCCCTCTTGTAACGCCTAGATTTGGTAAGTTGAAATGGTTTGCATGATAACAATATCCGTAAAAGGGTGGAGAAAACAAGCGTGCACTTTTGGTTCCAAGCAATTCAGTTTACGATTCAACATCAAAAATCATTATTACTATTATAGCCTCTGTTTTCACTGGCATTTTTACACGACCTCAGATATTTTAACGTCTTCACACTTTTGCTACCCTTTGGACGTGATGACAAGGACAATTACGAAATAATGCCGTCATTTTCAAACGTCTATCTTTAAATGTGAGGAAGACAGAAAAAATTACTTGGATTATACATGTGTATGCTCAAAGACTGCACGGAAAATTATAAGTAATTTTGAAACACCCTAAGGGAGTTATTATAAAGTTAAGTAGAAACATTAACTATTTTTAAAACCCGGTATATTTGGAATCAATGGTTTTCACAAATAAGGCACTAAACAGGAACCGAGACTACTTATAAGCGTGAGCAAATTAACAAAAAAATACTCAAAAGTCAGTAGTCAGGAAATGAAACCTTAGATGATCCACAACCATTATTATAAACGTTTGTGAGGGTTAGACAGACAAATGAATGTAACAACGATAAGGACGTTTCAAGAACAGATCTGCAGGCTGATATCAAAGAAACTACACACCAGCACTTGATACCAAAAACTTACTTCTTGTGGCTGCTTTGTATGCCGACCGTAAATAGCGTTAAGCATCAGACGCATTTTTATAATTTCCTCAGCCTGAATTTGAATATCCGAAGCCTGACCTGGGAGGAATCAGTTGATCGATCAAGCTTACCATGAGCGGAACCGGATGGCTGATGCACCATTATTCGAGAATGTGGAAGAGCAAATCTTAAGCCAGGGGCTCCAGCAGCCAGCAACAATGAACCCATGCTACTAGCCTGACCAACGCACCAAGTAGCAACAGGAGGTCTGATGAACTGCATAGTGTCGTATATTGCCAAGCCAGCAGTAACAACTCCTCCTTAAAAGAACAGGGTTACAGGAACCTTTCATACCAGGGGTGTTGATATAAATGTGAATAGGGGCCTTTTTGTCTTCTGACTGTAGATATAACAGCTCAGCAATCACTATGCCAGCCATCTGATCACTGATTGCTCCCATAAGACAAATGATACGATCTTTTAACAGCCTGGAATATATGTCAAATGCTCGCTCCCCGCGGGTAGTTTCGTCCAGTACCATAGGTACGAGAGACATACTGGGCTGCAGACAAGTGTGTAGGCACTTAACAATCGGTTCATTTTTGTAACGGTACTTAAAGATGCCAAACTCTGCCAAAGTCCTGGTAAAATGAGGAGAGATAAGGCGGTTTGCAGCCATAATAGCGCTCATAACAATTTGACCGCTAGTATCCAAATATCCAAACTTCAAACTTCTTGTTGTAGAAATAGTGAACGAAGGTTCCTTGGGTTCTACGTCTGTATAACTAGTTCACTAGTTACCTCCTGGTCATAAGCCTGGATAAAGAGGGAAGACTGAGCATAAGGATAGCAATCCTCGAACGAAAAAACCAATTCAATCTCTAAGGAAACTTCAAAGCATTAAGAAAATATTAAAAATGAAAATGAACTTATTTCACCTCTGGGATCGCAGAGGCGAGATAATACCCGTTCGTTAAGGACTTCGGGAAGTAAATTTGCCAATGTGTCTTCACAATATGAAACAGAAAGTAAGAATGGGAGATAATGTTACGTAAAACATTTCCCGAAAAGCCATAGCCCAAAGTTCGACGACATTCGACATTGATGCTGACCTTGATAGTTTGACTAGACTTGCTAAGCTGAAGGCACCCGGTCAAGCATCCTCGCCATTTGGCATGCTGTCGTGTTACGTTGCACGCTCGTATCCGACTCTCTAACCAACTAGTTGGAACGCACCGGTATCTTGGCGCAACCGCCCAAGTATACTACTTCATCCGACTACGCTATCGTGTTCTTCCTTGGTCTCGTATTCGTGGATATATAGCAAGTCCGAATAATTAGTGATTGGTCTTTGCGTCCGTCAGGTTCGCACCGGGACAAATCCTAAATTGGTGAGCCCGACGTGATAACATATCCCGACCAATGGCAAATATTGAATTGGTGAGCCTGTTCCATTTTATATTTGTATATTGTTTTCATTTTGATAATATTTATATATCCATTCACTACACTTTCTCATATCCGACCACACACCCAAGCTTATTCTTATTAAGCCAACTCGTGCCATATTGGCCAGACAATGCAGAAACATGGTTTCTGTATTCCGAGGCAGATTTTCGAGGGCTGGGCGTCTCAGATCCTCATTCTCGATTTCCTGTCGTCATACGTTCATTACCGCAGGAATTAAACCGCAATACTGTGGTACACACTTTTAATCCTGAAGTAAGTGATCCTTATGCACTTCTCAAAGCCGCAATCTTGAAGAAAAGTGATCTCACAGATCGCCAGCGCCTAGACGAATTACTTCTTTACATCGAGATGGGCAGCCACTCAACTACTGAAGCCCACGCACGCACGCGAGAAGTTATGGGGACACCAACATTCGACGATGGCCTTTTCTGAGAACTATTTCTCTCAAAACTACCACAACCGGTGCAAACCGTGTTAGTGACATTGCAGTCGGTCCCACTCGATGACTTGGTAGCCTCGGCAGATAAAATACTGGCGATCTCCAGCAGACCCGTCTGCAACGTATATTCCGTCTGCGACAAACCAGAGAGCCAGGATTCAGCGGTGACCAAGCTGTGCAACTCTGTCAAACAGTTGCTGCGACCTCCAAGTCCTAGTTCACGTAGCACTTCACAGAAACGCTTCTTAGCGCATCGCAGCAACTCGCGCGGTTGCCCCAAAACTAAACCTAACAGGGTGGAAAACCCGAAATGGTGCTCGTTTCATAATACTTACGGAGACAAAGCCAGAAAATGTCGGAAACCTTGCAGTTTTAACTAGGACACAAACTCGGGAAACTGTCACACCGGCACGTGATCATGGCAACCGTAGCCGGCGGAAACAGCCGTTTGCTCTGCGTCACGGACATTGAAACGAAAGTCCGCTACCTCGTCGACACCGGCGCAGAAGTTAGCCTTCTTCCCGCACCGACAAAGGAGTGTCATCATGACCCATCCTTCAATCCGCAAGCAACCAGTGGCAAGGCAATCGCGACATTCGAGAGGCGGTATGCCCACCTCAACCCAGGTTTACGTAAACCTATTCACCGCATTTTCCTCCTGGCTGAAGTCTCTGTGCTCGCCATCGGCATAGATTTGCTGAACCATTACGATTTACTCGTAGATGCCCGCTGTTGACGACTGATGGATGATAACACAAAGTTATCTATTGGCGGCACCGCCTATGTAGGTCCGAGTTTAGCTATCGTTAGAGCCAGACAATCAGGCGATGCATCCTACCAGGCAGTTTCGGAGAAATATCCAGAGTTGCAACAACCGAAGCATACTCTTCCGTGGATAACCAGCAGTGTTATGCATCACGTCACAACCACAGGCCCACCGGTGGCATGCAAAGCACGGCATCCAGGCCCTGACAGGCTCAAAACGGCGAAGAGTGAATCTGACCACATGCTTGAACTGGACATTATCAAAAACCGTCAAACAGTCCCTGGGCATCACTGCTGCACACGGTTCTCAAAAAGGATAGCAACGACTGGTGTCCAACCGGTGATTACCGAAGGCTTAACGCCAAAGCAACAACGGACTGCCACCCGATACCTCATGTTTACGATTCGGCTGCAACCTTATTCGGAATGAACATTTTCTCCATAATCACTCCGGTCAAAGCGCACAACTAGATACCTATGGCAGCAGAAGATATCGCGAAAACAGCCGTTATTACTCCTTTTGGTTTGTTTGAATTCCTGCGCATATCATTTGGTCTTCAGAATGCAGCACAAACATTCCAACGCTTTTTGGATGATGTCTTTCGTGGTTTGAATTTTGTTCATGTCTACATCGATGACTGTCTAATTGCGAGTCCAGACTAGGAAACTCGCCTTAAACATCTGGACCTCGTATTCAGTAGACTAAAAAACATGGCATCACAGCAAACTTGCAGAAGTGTGAAGGAGTTGAATCACTCAGCTTCCTTGGGCATACCATTGACAACGAAGGTATAAGCCCTTTGAGAGACAAAGTGGCGGCTATCATGAACTATCCAGAGCCGACCACTGTGAAACATCGCGGCACTTTCAGTGGCCTGGTAAGTTATTACCAAGGTTTATCCCCAACTGTGCCTGTCATGAGACCACTAACGGATCTACTTCGACGGACTACGAAGTGCGCGCTTCTGGACGGGGTGGCTAGACCTGCTTTCTCTAAAGTCAAGGAGGCCATTTCAAACGCAACCGTGCTTGTGCATCACAACCCCAGTGCTCCTTTGAGTATTGTTGTTGATGCATCTGACTCAGCAATTGGAGTAGTTTTGCAATAGCTGGTGACAACCGGTGGCAATCGTTAGCCTTTTTCTCGAGGCCGCTGCAGGATATGGTGATGAGGAACTCTTGGCTCTGTACTGTTCTGTACGCCACTTTCGACATTCGGTGGAAGGTCATGATTTCATTCTTTTCACAGACCACAAACCGTTAACTTTTTACCTCAGCTCGGCGTCTGACAAATACTCCCCACGTGGGTCGCTACAGCTGGATTACATTTCCCAGTTCACATCGGACATCCACCACATTTCCGGAGCAAATAACTCGTAGCCGATGCACTATCGCGAATAGCTTCGGTAAACCATATCGAGGGCTTTGATCTCGTTGAACTAGGTTGGTGTCAAAAGGAAGACTTTGAGCTGCATCGTGAGTTGTCGTCCACAACTCTCAAGCTGCGACTTTGTCCGGTTGGATCAGACAAGGATGCAATTTTGTGCGATGTCTCTGCTGGTCAACCACGTCCAACAGTTCCGAAGAGTTGCCAATGCAACGTATTCAATACATTGCACAAACCGTCCCATCTAGATGTACGAGCCACCATTGGGCTTATTGCACAACGTTTCTGCTGGCCTGGGATGAACAAAGACGTTAAGGTGTGGGCTCAGTCGTTTTTAGCTTGTCAAAAGTGCAAAGTCACGCGACACAGGAAAGGCCCGTTAGGCTCTTTTCCAGCCCCAGACATACGTTTCGACCACGTCCATACAGACATTGTAGGACCCCTACCAGAATCTAATGGATGCGCTTACCTTTTCACTTGTGTGGATCGTTTTACCCGATGGCCAGAAGCAGCACTTATTAGGGTATTACTGCTGAAACAGTGGCTCGTGTTTTCGTCGGAAGACGGATCGCGAACTTTGGATGTCCATCTTACGTCACAACCGACCGTAGGAGCCAATTCCAGTGTGGATCATTTCACGCTCTAACTGTGCTCTTAGGTTGCACCCGGTTCCGAACTACAGCCTGCCATCCACAAGCAAATGGCATGGCAGAGTGTTTCCGTCGACAGCTGAAAGCTTCCCTTCCAGCTGCAAACATACCTCAGTGGACCGAGGCTCTGCCTCTAGTCCTACTAGGTATTCGTGACGCGTCGAAAGTTGACGCTGCATGTGCCCCTGCGGAACTCGTCTGTGGGACCACTCTTCGCCCACCAGGTGAAGTTGTTTCCCCTTCAATTTCTAAACACGTTTCCGGCAGGGCATCTTACTTGACTAGGCTTACAAACGCAACGCGTTCTGTTAGGCCTTCTCCAGTTAGACCTCGAACGACTGATTTCTTCGTTCACCCCAGTTTACAAAAGACATCACACGTGTCTATTCGCCACGACGCCGTTCGTTGACCACTTGAACCACCCTGCAACGGGCCATTCAAAGTGATCAAGCGACACGAGAAACTCTACATGATTGGGCAAGACGGGCGTGAAGATGTTGCCAGTACCGACCTTTTGAAACCAGCTTATTTTGGAGGCAACCCCATCATAAGTGATGTTTCAGCTCTCTACAGCCGACCGACGGATAGCTCAATTATCGAAGTTCTTGGCGATGCGCCTGGTAATGCACAGTTACAACAACCATCGGTGCAACAGAAAACACGGTCAGGTCGAACCATTAGGTTCCCGGAGTATTTGGAGTAGTGTTAAACTTAGTGGTATGAAATAAGATGTGCCAGCCATTTTTTTAGTTAGTACAAGATTTTTTCATGGCACCATTTTTCTTAGTTACCGGCAATGCATAAATCCTCGTGCATTTTGCCTTTTTATGTCAATTTTTTACCACTACCACGTAATGAGACATCTTTTTAAAAAAGCGTAAACTTTTTTTCGATATATTTATGTATGAATAGTTTCCATTTTTACGAAGCGTTTTCATGGTATTAAAGACTTTTATTTATACTCCAGGCGCAACGAGCAC